TTATGAGGAACAAGCCAGTAAGCAGTGGTTCCCCACAGCCTCTGCAGCAGCTCCTGTCTCCAGGTTCCAGCCCTGACTTTCCTCGGTGATGACAGTAGAGATGACAACTGCTTCGGGTCTTTAATCGCAACAACAGAAAGCCTGGCTAAAACTGGCGGCACACACATGCCATCCCAGCACTCAGGAGGCAGAACTGGCAAAGTCGGCTTGTTCTACACTGAGAATCCAGCCCATTTAGGGAGGTTTAGGTAAGACTCTAGCAAATACTACTGCACTACTACGACTACTACTAATTTGGTTTTTAAAAAGGCCAAAAGATGTTTATTTACATAAAAGATGTAAAAATATGTTTTTTAAAAAGTGTTTACCTGTATTACTTATTGGAAAGCAGGAATTGATCCATACTGATACCTTGAGAATAGAGACTGGCAATACAGTTAGTAAGACTGTGAGGAAAGCAAAATTCTCCTATCGGTAGTGGGACTCGAAGATGATACAGCTGCTTAGGAATCCAGCTGACAATTTCTTACAAAAATTGGACACAGGGGCTGTCTCTCCAGCTCAGCACTTAAGAGCACTGGTTTGTCTTTCCAGGGGACACAGTTCAATTCCCAGCACCCCCACACAGAGGCTCACGACTGCCTGTAACTCCAGATGCAGGGGTTGTGATGCCCTTTTGGCATCCTTGAGCAAAGCGTGTGTGCACGGTGTGCAGACAGACACACCGGCAAAACATCTGTACACACAAAAAAAACAATCAAAAAATTTTTAGACAGATCTCGTCCGTACCAGCACTGAGGTAACCAAGGATTGCTGCTGAATCGTGCATTGCAGCTGTCTCCTGAGAGTCAGACTATCTCTGTGTAGTTAACCACTTGGGAAGTGTGAGGCTGTGCTGGGTCTATCAGGACCTCAGACAGCAGGATATACCCTGCCCTGAACTTGATGTCTACACTAGCGAAGGGTCTGCATCCCCAAAAGAGCTGACATTATGTTACTTTCCTGTGCTTTTAACATCATCCACTCCATGTGAGGGTCAATGGACTATATAAAACATCTATTTATATATAAAATATGTAACAAACAAACAAACAAATAAAAACTAAAAGGGAGAAAAAGTTACCTTAACTCGTAAATATGCTGTCCCCTTCATGAATATTCATCAAAAATTTCCTAAAATCACCAGGCAGTGGTGGGACACGCCTTTAATCCCATCACTTGGGAGGCAGAGGCTGGTGGATCTCTGAGTATGAGGCCAGCCTTGTCTATAGAGCAAGTTCCAGAAAAAGCCAGGTTACACAGAGACATCCTGTCTCAAAAAACAAAATAAAAACAAATTATAAAATGTCCTAAAATCCATAACACAGAAGTGGCTGGATTGCTCCTGGCCATGAGGCACGTCTCTCCAGTCTTTTCTTAGCTTTGCTAAGCAAACTTTTGCTCCAACTGCCCATACTGTTCAACTGAATTCTTTAAGGAGATAGCTGAGAGGCCCAAAGAATGTCATGATGTCAGGACGCCAATAGATACTTATCAGTAAGAAATGAAAACATGTTGGGCGGTGGTGGCATATGCCTTTAATTCTGGTACTCGGGAGGCAGGTCTTTGTGAGTTTAAGGCCAGCCTGGCCTACAGAGAAAGTTTCGGGATGGCCAGAGCTACTTCTAGAAACCCTGTCTTGAAAAACCAAAAACCAAAATGAAAACACAGGTTCATACAATGATTTGTTCACAAATGTCGGTAGTAGCTTTATTCAAAATATTCCCACACTGGAAATAACCCAAATATCTATCAACAGATACACAGGTTGGCCAATAGTAGCATATTACTCAGTATAATAAGTATATCATAATAGGGATACAATTCACCAATAAAAAGGAACAAGCTATTGCTAAGTAACAACAGCACACATGTCAAAACATGCCAAGCTAAAAATAGAACTTCAACACAGAGAGTATATCTCACCTGATTCAACTTAAATGAAATAATAGAACGGACAAGATTAATCCCCAGGGACAGAGTAGATGAGCGACTATGTGGGGTGCCCGTGGTGGGAGGGGGTGACCCACTGACTGCAGAGGGAGACAGTGCACGCGCTGGTGAAGGATCTGTTCTGTCTCGACTGGGAGTGATGTTGGCTCTGGTACAGAAACATCATGGCTTAATTGTACAGTTAAGACAGGCTCACTTAACCGTATGAAAGCAACCATACAGGCCGAGCAGAAGACGAGAACCATCAATCCAGTGCCCGCCTCAATAGACAGATGTGCGCTGAGTTTCTATTTGTTTCTTTAGCAGCATGTTAAGGGTCAAATTTTCATCCAATGAATGGCTGAGTAAAATCATAATATTCAAAGAAACAGCCATAAATGGTGGAGGTTAACAAAAGCTATGAGACAAGCTGGCTCCACTCGAGGGCTGCAAGACAAATGACTAATTTCTGATAGCCTCCCATGTCAGGTGGTTATCTCTGAGGGATGGGATGTGGTCCAGGCACTCAAGCACAAGTCTGACCAGGGCTGAATCAAATGTGAAGTCTCTTTACCAAATTTAAGAAAAATCTCATTATAAAAAGGCAAATGGCTACAAGGATTTGATAGGCCCAACTTAGGAGATCACTGTTAAAACCGGAATATAATTTATTTTTTAACTCAATTGCACTTACAACTAATAAAAGCCTTCAACTTGACTTTAGAGATTAGGAAGAGAACATTTTTGTCAGGCTGGGGATGACTCTGAGGGCCTTAAACATACCATGCACAGCCCCCACCGTTAGGCTACATCTTGGCCCTGAACAATTATCTTCGATGAAACTTCACTGTATCTTCACAAAGCAAATATTTATTAAAACAAGTTTTTAATGAATATTTTTCTTCCTATACCAAACCCTAGTAAAGTTTGGGTTATATACTTCCTGCCCTTCTTAAGAAGTTAATTCTATTTTAGGGTGAAGACGGGCTTCTATTTTGTCTCTCAATTTTACTATAGACTGGTTTATGACATATCTTTAAAAAGAAAGCTACAGCAACAACAACAAAAAAAATACTAGCAATTTTACCCCATTAGAGATAATTCACAGTGAGCAGTATCTTATTTTCGATTCTACCTACATATTTCTGTAACTTATCACAATGTTTTTCACCCTCCAGCATGAAGGAAAAGCAGGCTCCTTCACTGTACTCCCATTGAGGGCCTAGCAGAAGACTGACCACAACCATCATGGAACCCAGAAAACAAGAGCCAAGATTCTCTGTGCTTGATCCTATTGGGCAGCAGTGACTCATCCCCCGTGGGAGGAAGAGTACAGGGCACCTGCTCTGACTCACATGTCCTAACTCCAAGGCTCTTAGGGACTCCTAAGGTGAGGCTGCTATTCTTAATCACACACACACACACACACACACACGCACACGCACACACACTGCATTTTGATCATATCCACTCTTCCTTTCTCATACCCAACTTTTCCCAGACCCCTCCTCATCCCTCTCCAATTTTTCTATCTTCTTTGCCTTTATAAGCCAGAATCCAATCAGAGCAGGCCCTGGCCTGGGAGGAAACCCAGTGGTGCAAAAGCAACTTAGAGACCGGGACCACTGCAAACAGCCTCTCCCCTCCCTAGCAATCATCAACTGTTAAAAGCTCCCAGTTAGAGATGGGACCTTCTGAGCCCCCTTCCCCCATCCATCACCCCATCCACACTGGGATGTTGACTGGCTGGATCATGTGCCAGCAGGCACAGCTACAGTGAGTTCACAAGCACAAAGTCCCTCATGTCCAGAGTCTTGCAGCATCTTTCCTGGCCTCTGCTTTCAATCTCTCTGCTTTCCTTCCTTGGGGGTTAGGGGTGATGGAGATGTACTGTCCGTGTGCGTGTGTGTGTGTGTGTGTGTGTGTGTGTGTGTGTGTGTGTGTGTGTGT